TCATTGAAATGAAAAATAAATAAATTAAAATATTTTTAAAAATCAAATAAAAAAATCCAACTTTTAGGCTAACACTGTACCTACCCCCCTTTGCCCACAGGATGTTAAGCTCTTAGCATGGCCATCAAGGCCGTGTCTGACTACAAACTTTCCCCCAATTCTTTCCTTCCTCTTCTGTTCACATAGCAGTGTTTGATTTTACTCAATCTGCCAGTACTGCATGCTTGGGTTTTGTTTTTGTATTTTTGTTCTACTCTCTTAATGTAAACACACTTGCATATTCTCCTTCAAGGAGCTGAAGCATGTACTTCTCAGTGAAGCTTTGTTCTAACCACTGTTTACAAAACAAGTATTGTCTCTAGAGACCCGGATATACCCTGTGCCCCTTCTCTTTATTTCTTTCTTTTCAAAGCCTTTCCATAATCTTGCTTAGTATGTTAGCTTCTGTGACATCAACTCCCAATTTATGGTGAACTCATGCAAAAAAAGAATGAAATGAAACATTGCCTGGTCCCATGCCATCTCCCAGAGTTTTATATCAGACTGTTATAATCCATAGGTTTTTCATTGGCTGGTTTTCAAAAGATCATCAGACTTTTCTGTCTAGGCTCAGTTAGTCTGGAAGCTCCCTTGAAATCTGCTCAGTATCCTAACAAGTCTATACAAGTCTTCACTAACAGATGAGTCAGAGCTGCACATGCGGCACTCTGGCTAAGAACTGAGCCAGACTCTCCCATGTTGTTCTTAGGTGCCATTGAATCATGTATGACTTATGAACTACAGATCTGAACCCTGTTGTATCCTGTGTCCTCCTCCTCAAACCCATTGTTGCAGTCACTTCATCCATCTATCTTGTTGAGGGTCTTCCTTTCTTTCTCTGACCTGCCTCCTTTCCAAGCATGATGTCTCTTTCCAAGGAATAACCCTTCCTAATAGCATACCCAATTCTCACCACTGGAACAATTGGCAGCATCAGGATGGATGGTGAAGAGATTGAGATTGTTCACAGCTTTAGTTTGCTTGGCTCCACAGTCAACACTCTTGGCACCAGTAGCCAGGAAATTAAAAGATTCATTGCCATGGGAAAGTCTGCTGTTAGGGACCTCTCCAAAAAAGTACTGAAGAGCAATGGTGTCTCTCTGGAGACTAAGGTGTGTCTGATAAAGGCCATGGTCTTCGCAATCACTTGTTATGCATCAGAGAGTTGGACAATGACCAAGGAGGATAGAAGGAGAATTGATGCCTTTGAGCTGTGGTGCTGGAGAAGAGTATTGAGAATACCATGGACTGCTAGGAAAACAAACAGATTTGTCCTGGAAAGGGTTAAACCAGGTGGCTCCTTGGAGGCAAGGATTCTGAGGCTCCGTCTAACATACTTTGGACAGGTTGTGAGGAGAGACCGGTCCTTGGAGAAGGACATCATGCTTGGGAGGGTGGAGAGACAGTGCAGGAGGGGAAGGCCCTCTATGAGGTGGATTGATTCAGTGGTTGGGATAATCGGGATGGGAGTGTCAGAGACAGTGCGATTGGCACAGGACAGAGCAGAGTTTAGGGCTGTTGTACATAGGGTCGTTATGAGTCGCAAGCGACTCGACGGCACATAACAACAACAACAACAATAGCATACCCAAAGTATGTGAGATGAAGCTCACCATCCTTGTTATTAAGGGAGTGAGAATTCTGTCACTGAATCACTACTGCTTCTGTAACATATTTTATACTAACTTACTTGTTTGTGTTGGAAAAGGTAGGGGGCAGCAAGAGAAAGGATGACCCTCAAGAAAATAGACTGACACAATGGCTGTAACAATAAGTTCAAACATGACAGGGATCATGAGGACGGCACAGGAAAGGGCAAGGTTCTAAACTGTTATTTATAGGGTTGCTCTGAGTCAGAGTCAACTTGACGACACCTACCACTACAACATTTGTTTATTGTACATCTCTTGACTGGCATTTTTAGGCTTCAAGGAGGATAGGAAAAACTTCATCACCACAGTCCCCGGAACAATGACTGACCCAGAGAAGGTAATGAGTAAATGTGGAATGATTGATTGAAGAGCTGTGTTAATATTTTCTATGAGCCATGAAGTAGGTCATGTGTGCCTTCTGGGTTCCCGCTCTTTGTAGGGAAACTGTTATACTTCACAATAATCTTCCACTTGCTGCCTTTTTGTAACAAGTATTGTTTTCCAATTTCCATAAATCCAGAGTCTAGTATGGGAGCTCTGGTGGCCTAATGGTAAGAAGCTACGCTGTAATCCCAAAGGCACACAGTTCTAATCCACCAGCTGCTCTTTGGGAGAAGGATGAACAATCTCTTCCTGTGCATTTCCTGCCTCTGAAAACCTGCTGGAAGGTCAGTTATAGGTTAGGTCTGTCTTGATAGCACACAACAACAGCACAATGTTTGGCATGTAGTAGACATAAAACCATTTTTGATTAAATAAATACTCCTTCTAAGAGGAGAGACCATACTTTATTCACTATCAGATTGGCAGTTCTTGGCAAATACTAAGTGTCTAAAGTCTGCTTGAAGAGCAATGGTGTCAGTATGGAGACTAAGGTGTGCCTAATTCAGGTCATGGTCTTCACAATTTCTTGCTATGCATCAGAGAGCTGGACAATGACTAAGGATGATAGAAGAAGAATCAATCCCTTTGAGTTGTGGTGCTGGAGAAAAGTACTGAATATATTATGGACTGCTAAGAGAACAAACAGGTCCGTCCAGGAGAGGGTGAAAACAGGTTACTTCTTGGAGGCAAAGATTTTGACGCCCCATCTCACCTACTTTTGGCAAGTTGCAAGGAGGGACGAGTCCTTGGAGAGGAACATCATGCTTGGAAGAGTGGAGGGACAGTGCAAGAGAGGAAGACCCTGGGTGAGATGAATTGACACAGTGACTGGGGTAGTGGGGTAGGTGTGTCAGAGACAATGAAGTTGGCTCAAGATAGAGCAGGTTTCAGGGCTGTTGTATATAGGGTCTCTATTAGTCACAGGCAACTCAACGGCACATAACAACAACAACAACAAAGCCTGCCTGTTCATTCAATGGACTAAATGAATGGGTGTTGTCCCTTTTTCTTGGAGGATGAAGCATAGGTGCTGATAGCAACAGTGACAGGGGTTTCTTTTTTAAAAAAATTTTATTATTTGTGTGTGTGCGTGTACCATCAAATCAGATCTGACTGGTACAGGACGGAATTGTCCCTCCTTCCCCGGCAGAGCATCTGGTGGATTTGAACCGTGCACCTCTGGGATTGCAGTGCAGCTTCTAGCCACTAGGCCACCAGAGCTCCCCGACAGGGGTTTCTTTTAATAACAGCCAAGTGAGTAATGCATTCACAGGACTGTGTCTAAAGTTCTGGGCCTTCGAATTGTTCCTGCAGCACTCACAGGTGCCAGAGAGCCACAGGCAACAAGCCTCAATTATCACTGAGATAATACA